AGTGGTGGGGGAAGGTTAGATCTGTTTTTATTTAAATATTAATAACCCTGGACTGGATGATCGGAATCCAACAAGCGAGGGCTCGTTTAAAAGAGCGTTTCTTACTCTATATTATACCATATAAACAGTAATAATAAGTTTTTGAACATAGAAGCTAGGGGGCGTTGTCTTACAATTTAACTAACATTGCGCGTTTTTTCAGAAAAATTAAATGCAATAGTATATGTAATTTTAGTGATCGGAAAGAGTAGAAAAAGCTTAAAAAATCAGCGAAAACCGCATCTTGATATCTTCTTTCAAACCGAAGATATTAAAAGCGCTGCTAAGACTATCAAAATGTTGATCTAATAACAATTTGACGTTTATACTATTATGTCAAAAGCAACTTTTTTCCAAAGCCTACCATGACTTCACTGAATTATCGTTTCTTGTCCACTGTTATTAATATCTTAATTATTAGATATTATGGTATTCTGGTATTATGGTATTATGGTATTTCGTCGATTTTAAAATAAACTAACTGTTTCTATCTTATTTTTTGTTAGAATGGGCATAATCAAGAGGGCTAGTTGATACCATGTTGTAAAAATAAGGTAAGGTTTTCTACTCTTTCCGATCAGCTAAAATTACATATACTATTGCTTTTAATTTTTTTGAAAAAACGCGCAATGTTTGTTAAATTGTAAGACAACGCCTCCTAGCGTCTACGTCCAAAAGCTTATTATTATTGTTTATCTGGTATAATATAGAGTAAGAAACGCTCTTTTAAACGAGTCCTCGCTTATTGGATTCCGATCATCCAGTCCAGAGTTATTAATGTTTAAATAAAAACAGATCTAACCTTCCCCACCACTTTGTTTTGGTAGATAGGGGAAAATGGCTCTAACAAAAAATATTTAAAATTTACTGAAGATTAAGAAGCTATTACTTATAGTACACCTTATCTAGGCAAAATTGTGTAAAAACTCCATTTTCTTATTTTTTGTTGCAGTTGCGCCCCCTAGCGGTCGTTCTACAAACTTGAAAATAATTGCCAGCAAATTCTCATAGCCTCTTTAGTTATAAATATTTTTTTCCGCAGCCCCTGCTACTAATACTTTTCGAGATACAGCCGAGAGCTATTCTTAGTGGGATTTCCCGCTGGGGATTCAGATGGCAGCTCTGCTGTAAATAATGTCAAGTTCTAAGCATTTATTTATTTATTTCTTGACATTGTCATTCGTTTTGACACTTTAGTTTTGTATTACGAGTTTTTGGTTTAAATGAGTTTTCTTGTGATACTTTAACCTAAAAAATTTTTACTAGTAGACCTTGCAGTCGAACATTGTTCTTTTTAGAACATCTTTTAGTGTAAAGTGTACAAGATAGCTTAAAAGCCGTAAAAAACTCATCGCAACTTTTTGCAACGAATATTTGGAACGGAAAAGCTGTAGTAATGGCCCTTTATGTCCCTTAAGCGTTGTTGTTCCTATAAATACATGTATAATTAAAATTAAAATCTAGATAAAATCATTAAACAGACACACTTCACTTACAATTAGAGTTCTAAAGGTATATACACAAAATACATAAAAAAATGGAAAACAAATATGAAAAATTAATTTGTTGCAATACGTCTGCAGTCTGCAGTACAGTATACAGCAGATATCGTACTGAAATTTCAATTCGATACTATGAAGAAGGCGACTAAAAAACATTAATTTATTCTTTTTACAAAAAAAAGGAAACAATAAAATGCACATCTGCAGATATCAAATATAATTACTTTTTTTCTAGTATGGTGTATTTAAATATATGTACAGGGTGGGTCAAATTCGACGCTTTTAAATGGAAACACCCTTTACTATAGGAGATAGACGAAAACTAATATCAGTGTCTGGAGCTCAATTTTCATCAAAAACATGATGGTGAAAACCGCACATCAATATCTGTTACCGTTTCGGAGTTACGGGGTGTTTTTCAAAAATGTGCATTTTTAACAAATCGCTGTAACTTTTTTGCTATGGAAAATTTTGTATTTCTATGAAAACATTTCCAAAGCATCTTTTTACGTAGAATTTAATTGTTTAAGTATATTTTTTTTAAAATTAATAATTTAAGAGTTATCAACAGAAAAAATTATTTTTTATATGGGACACCCTGTATATTTTTGATTTATTGAAAAGAATTTAAAATTACCTTTCCAAAAATATAACACACTTGATATTTTGCTCGATTCCTCTTCGAGATATAGAGTATATAAAAATTCGCCCGCTTTAAATAAGTAGGCTTTGAACGGCACCGGCTGTAATGCAAAAAAATCTAGCTGTGAGCATCAATTAAAACGAAAATAATATTTGCTATGAGAGATGCAGAATTTTATAACAATTTAAAATATATTTAACCAACATCAACACATTTAAACTATATCTCATAACAATAAAAATAAATAGCAAACCAGGACATGAGATTTTGCTACAGGTGTTCGACATATCGACCGTCTTCTATTATGGACAGACGGGGCAGTTTTTGAACAGTTCTTGCGGAATTCATTAACTCAGTGGGGGTGAAAGATACCCTCTCATAACTGCTAAGTATTTCTAATTCTTGTCTAGATTATACAGAAGAATAAGGAACCTTTATTCTTCCGCAAATATATCCATAGGATTAGATCCATGGGCACTAAGTCAGGCGGCCTCGACGGCCAACGGCTGGGTTCTTGCTCAACTATTCAATTATTCTTGAAATTGGCTGCAGAAATTTGCTGATAACTTCAGCGTTCAGAGGCGGTGCGTCGTCTTGCTGGAAAAATATGTTTTCGAGTTCCATTAAGGGCATATCATCAATGAGGGGTCCAAAGCCTACTAGTTAAAACTGGCGAACTTTTAAAAAATCTGTATTTCGAAGGGGATTATAACAAAATATCAAGTGTGTGCTATATTTTTGAAAGGTAATTTTAAATTATTTTCAGCTAATTAAAAATATACAGGGTGTCCCATATAAAAATCAAATTTTCTGTTGATAGTTCTTAAATTGTTAATTTTAAAAAATTATACTTAAACCATTAAATTCTACGTAAAAAGGTGCTTTGGAAATGTTTGCATAAAAAATACAAAATTTTCCATAGCAAAAAGTTACAGCGATTTGTTAAAAATGCATATTTTTGAAAAACACCCCGTAACTCCGGAACGGTAACAGATATCGATACGCGGTTTTCACCATCATGTTTTTGACAAAAATTGAGCTCCAGACACCGATATTAGTTTTTGTCTATCTCCTATAGAAAAGGTTGTTTCCATTTAAAAGCGTCGAATTTGACCCACCCTGTACGTAAATCTTAAAACTTTCTTTAAAGTAGAAATTAATGATATTAATTATTAAAATCAAAATAAGTTGCATTTATTGTAACTGACAGTATTGTATTGTAACAACAACAATCAAGGAAATATCATAATATATTACCTGGACACAAAATCGAAAATAAGTTAATTTTGACTAACTAACAACAGACCAGCCAAGAGGCCCCAAGAAAATCTTTCGCACTTACAGAAAAAACTAACACAAAATACAATATGTTTCCAAAAGAAATAACCCAGTTAAATTATATTAATTTTAAGAAGAAAATTAAAAACAACATATTTAAGAAGATGATATAGACGCAGACGGCATAGACCAATTTATAAAAAAGAACAATGTCTTCGATATCATCTGCGCAGGGAGAGTCTTAACAGACTTCAAACTATTGCAGATGAATAAGGACGTAACCTGCCAGAAAGATAAAGCCAACTAAATCAAATGTAAAAAAGACGCTCTGCGTAAAGGAAACTATATTTTAAACGTAGAAAACTGGTTATTTACGTTACGTTTTTTACACACCCATCCTTGTTTTCCACTGCGGTCCCGCCCACCGTTTTTCCCTCTATCCCGGATTTCCAGGCGTTTTATGCAATTTTTGCACGGTCGGTCGGCTAAGGCCGAATGCAACTGGTTGCAATATCATCGGGTAGAAAATTAATGCAGAATCTACATTGCTGTAACATAGTCTGTGCGTTATTCGGTGGTAATCGAGTCAGAGGCGTATCATATTGGCAAAATTAATAAATATTTATTTGTAGATTTTTTAACTGGTAATATAAATTTTTGAAAAATAAAAACCAAAATCGGAAAATTCAGTTTTCCACCATACGAGTATTCATTTCAGGAAAGGACCAAATATAAGTTCAATTATATGTAAATATTAGGAATTTTGATTGTACCCACTGACACGCAACTTTGAGCCACTCTGTATTTATTATTGTTTCCGATAGTCATCATCATTAAATCACCCGGTATATCTTGTTCTATGTTAAAAAATGAAATAATTTTTTAACCTTGTATAAATTAAACATATACAGTATGTCCTCCGGATTGTCTTTAGAAGAGGAACAACTTTTTTATTATTGACATTTTGAGAAAAATGCATTCTTCATAAAAAAATTTGCTTGTTCTAAAATCGTTATTCCGGTTTATACTTTTGCAAATTTTCATACCGTTTTAGAGAAAATTAAAAAAACGTTTTGAAAATCAAAAGGCGTTTCTATGGTAATATTATTCCGATTTCATTTTTTGATAGATTGTTACTGATAGGATTTTAATTAACGTCATATTTTTTGCTATTTTCCAATGTTGAAGAAGCACAAAATTTATTTAGCTCAATGCTACGGAAAGGGTGATAATAGTTATCGTAAATTGTGATAGTTTAACAACAGCAAAAAAATGACGTTAATCAAAATTAATAAAAACCATCTATCAAAGAATGAAATTGAAATTATATTACTATAGAAACACGCCTTTTTTAGAACCATTTTAGAAGAAGCAAAAATTTTTATGAAGAATGCCTTATCCTCTAAATGTTAATAATAAAAAAAGTTTTTCTTTTTGTAAAGACAATCCGGGGACATACTGTGTACCTACTTAGAAATTATTAATATTTTTTATAAATGCAGGCAGTGCGTGTTTTAATTCTTTATTTTTGTTTTTAGGTACGCCACTGCTGTTTATCATTATCTGGGTCATCTTTAAAAGTCTTTTTCCACCTCTCCATAATGAAAGCGACGTGGTAAGTTTTCTTATTCGCCAATTTCATTTGTTGTTTTCTGCATATTCTCTACAGTAGTATTTTTAGAGACAATATTATTGTACCAAATAAGTAGTTCTTTTATTAGCAGGCTAGCTAGATAGACTTTCAGAAAAATAAATATTGTTTAGCTTGTCTACAATACAGGGTGAGCCTTAAATGCCCATATTATTAGGGGTGGTATATTTCGAGGACCTATAAGGTTTTTATCGCAAAAATAATTTGGAAAATATTGTAGTTTAGAAATATTTGTAATTTTTAGATAAAAAATATAATATTTATCTTGATAATATGGCAAAGTCGGAAATAAATTACATTTAGAAACAAAAAAATCCAGTGGTTCTCAAAATTTAAGTAAATTTATAACAGATAGTTTTCATATGTTTATCATAATATATGAGGATCTGATTTACTTTTTATCAGAAACTTCATTAATGACGATTTTTAATGATGGTAGACTTTTAATGATCTAAGGTGGTGAAAGGACAAAAATATTGTTTAAAAAAATAAAATTTGTCCCGATACCAATACATATTCAACTTTTTGTACACAATAAAGAATTAACAAAATTCAAGATTCAGATATTTACTGATTTTAAAATATACAAATTTCTTAGTATTTTGTAATTCATGGCCACTGTTTAAATCGACTTATATGTATAATAATTATTCAAAAAAGAAATAGTTAGAGCAATAACCCTAAGAACTTTGTTTTAAGTACAGTAATTACTATAATATTTATTATTTTATTTTCTATGGCACATTTCTATTTTATTATCAAATGAATTAATCATTTAACAAAAGTTTTAACTCTATTGAATACGCCTCTGTTATTTTGAACATTTGTTAATACAATATAATCGAAAAAAACGGCGTCAGCGATGGCTATGTGTAAAGTTATACGAAGAATATCATCGATGTTCATTTTCAAGCCAACTGGACGCGGTTTTTTTCGATCATACGGTACAATAAAGTGGATTTTAATACCTCAATGGCAACTTGATTGTCTTATATTTTTTAGTATTAAATTCAGATAGTCTTATAAAGGGTAGTAAAGTAAAGGTAGTAGATAGTCTTATAATCTCGATAAAAAAAAATCTGTAAGTCCAACATAAACGAGTTATTTTACTTTGAAAATTAAAGAAAAATTATTTTTTGCTTACATTTTGGGAACCACTGGATCTTTTCTAGGTTTTCTTTCTTTTAGATTTAATCTACTACCTATTTGCTATATTAACAGGAAATTATATTTTTTAACTAAAAACTAAAAACAAATCCAAAATTGACGTGTTTCTGGGGCCGAAATGTAGTATATTTCGGCCCTAAAATTATTTGCACTTATTTAAGACCCCGGTATTTATATTTATCATAATTTATAAACATCTTATTCACGTTTTATAATAAAATCGTTTTTACATGTTTCTATAATGAGAAATTTTAACGATGTTTAACGACATTTTTAACTGTATTAACTACGCCTCTGGTGTCGTACACATTTGTTAGTGCAATAAAGTGGATTTCCAATATCGACACGTGAGAGCGGTCAAATTCTACGGCTTCTATTGCAGATAGGGACTAATTTTCTTTGTCAAAAGACATTCGCCACCGCAAATAGTAACATTTCGATTTAACAGCTGCAATATCACACCCTCCCCATGTGGAAGTAACATAAAACGAACCTCTATTGTATTGGTCAAACAGTACTTCATATTGATTTTCGTTTGATAATTGAAATTGAGCTTAATAATGATACAGACAATTTGTTTTTTGCAATTATTTTCTTTTGGTTACGTTAAAAATGTTTTACTGTATAATGTTAGAATATTTTAAATGTTTTATGAACGCAAGTGTTAATGGTACTGAATATTACTGACAGATATTTTTTCCATTAGTTATAAGCGTGTCCATTAAAAGAATATACAGGGTCACTTTTATGTATGGAAACGGTTGATTATTAGGTAAAATATAGGTTAAATATAAAAGTTATAGGGTTTATAAATATCTATTAGCCAGTAATAAATTTAAGTATACAGGATCGGTCATAAAGTCGTGGGACTTCAAAGTTTCATTTTTTTAAATGGAACAATACAACCGAAATATGCAATAATATACAGGGGTATTATTGCATATTTCGGTTCTCTCGTCAATTCTAAGGATATCGGAATAATATACTGGGTGTTCCATTTATAATAAAAGAGTAGCTTTTAAAAGTGTTCAATTATCGATATTAATTTTGTCTCACGTTTTAATTTGACTTAAGGTACAATGGTTAATTTAAATACATATTAGGCTAGTATTAGGCTATACCGGGTAAATTTCAATTTAGGTAGTTTCTATTTAAGTTTAAAATTTGTAAACGAAACAACCCACTGATTAACTAATTAAAGAATTAGTAACTCCGATGTAGACAAACTACTAAAATTTCGTTTAACAATACATTTTAACAATGGCTGATAAAAAGCCCACAAATCTCAAGTCCCTCGCGCTATATACTATACAAGATTTCTCAACTTAATACCACCTTGCTGTAAGTTCATCCAACTTCAAACATCTATTCATCCATTCATAGCGCACTAAATCAAATAAGGACAGGGAACCGGGGGAGACCAATTCTATTATTTCTATTCTATTCTAAACTGTAATAGACTTCATAATATTTCAGTATATTTCTGAGACTGTACAGGGTGTCCCATTTTAGTTACCACTTGTAGTAAGCCACTAGCCACTTTTTTTGTCAAACGGAAGATGCAGTAAACAAAATTTTCATAGCCCCTTCTGTTTCTGAGCTACAGGGTCTTTTTGAAAATTTTGCAATTTGGGGACACCCCCTGTATCTCTGTTATTGTTAAAGGTATCGAGAAGGTGAAACTGTTTAATGTGGAACTTTACGTAGAATATAGTGGCGTAGTCTGTTATTCTACTAAAAGAATATTTTTGAAGATATGAAATATAGTTATGTTTTTCTTTAAATAGAACACCATGTATATTTATAAATTATAAGATCTGGCTTGCTATAATCTTCTCAAAAATATATATCACTCTATATTTATTTCACTATTTTACTTCAATATTTAAAGTTATTAAAGATCATATTTATTAGTAGGCCATGATAGATAATAAAAGAAACTAGAGAATTATTAAAAATATACTGCTATCTACTTTGTTTTATTTTCGGGGCCACTAATAAATTCATTATATATTAGGGAAACTTAACTTCTTTACCGCTATTTGTAAATCTTGAAAGCTATCGTATCGGAATTTTAAATATTCCTTTAGCTAATTTTACGTGAAATATACTTTCAGCAAGATGGGGCTCCCTCACAATCCTTTAACTTACAACGAAAATATTAGAATTTTGTTAAATTATTATTTCTCAAATCAATGAATTGGAACCAATGGCCCCATATGATGGCCTCCCCTGATTCCCGGATTTGTCCGTTCTCGATTTGTGATTTTGGGGATTTTTGAAATATGAAATATATCGTGGGAACAACACAATGTCGAACACCTGAAAAATGCTTTAATAATGCAAGATTTTAAATATTTGCAAACCCATCCTGTTATAATAAATTCCGTTATAAAAAAGAAAATATATTCAGAGATTCAAAAGTAAAATGTATCAATTCCAAATAAAATTTAATATGTATGACTATTTAGTAAATACCAGTTTGATTTTTTGATATGATATATTTTAAATATTGCAGTAAATAATAAAATAAATATAAAGTGATATATATATATATATATATATATATATATATATATATATATATATATATATATATATAGCATAGTATAGTTATATATATATATATATATATATATATATATATATATATATATATATATATATATATATATATATAGTTATATATATATATATATATATATATATATATATATATATATATATATATATATATATATATATATATATATATATATATATATATTTGAGAAGCTCATAGCAGGACAGATCATATGATTTATAAATATACAGGGTGTTCCATTTGAAAACATAACTTTAGTTCATATTTTCAAAATATTTTTTCGCAGGAAACAGACTACACCACTGTATTCTACGTGTAAAAATTTCTATAAGAATCAGTTTTCACCTTCGATATCATCCATATAATAACGGAGAAACAACAGCAAAGGTATGGTTTTAATGTGTTAGGAAAAATGTCTGTTCAAAAAGCGAATATATCCAAAAAATAAAGCTATTGAGATTAACCCAAAAGCAAACTATCAAAGACACACCTAGATGATAAAATACTTTAAATTCTTGCTTTGTTAACATACTCCACAAGGTTGTTTCAAACTTTCACCAAAATATCAACATTTTGTTTTCCGTCGTATAATTAACAGATGGAAACTTTCATTGTTAATTCAGAAGGAAATGTTAAAAATTCAAATAATTAAGCTAGAAATTGCTTAAAAAATCATCAAAATCTCGAACTCAATATATAAAATTCTCAACTCAACATATAAAACTCGAACACAATATATAAAATTTTAAAATACATAAAAAAAATTAAGGTGCTTGTTTTTCGTGCCGGTGAATGATATAGATCATACCTAATAATGGTTAGTGATAAAGGTTGTGTAAAATTTCAAAATTAAAGACATTTTCGGTCCATAAAGTTATTTCATTTCAAGCTATTATTTGTTATTTTTCTCCTTTGGGTAATATTTTCAGAGAAAACTGTAATATTATCTGCCATAAAAGCTACCAGAATGCGGCAAAAGCAAATACGAGACCGGAGTTTCTGTTTGTTATAAACTTTATTTAACTATTAACCGCCCGATGCGGGCCGAGTAATTCACTGCTTCTCGAGATGAACTCCGCGAAACTTTTTTAAGTTTCATACAACGTCAACTTTAAAACGTTTTAAGTCGAGTCGAGTGATTCGCAATTGCAGCTAATATAAACTTTTTATCGATTTATTTATAGATGTTAACTCAACCAGGTGATAGAGCAGA